CCCTCCAGTTTTAAGCCGCAGTGCTCCAGCAGCACGGCTTCACAAACTAATACACTGGCGCCCCCATCGGGTAGTAGTTTAACATTGACACCGACTGTACTGCTAAACAAGGATCGCAAACTCAAAAACGAAAAAGACGCACACACTAACATACAATCAGCACAGTTATGACAAAACACACACTCGATACACATCTATATGTACAACCGGGTGTAACAGTCTCTCAAAACCAGGTTCTCTCCTGTACTTTAGTGTTTACAGTATTTACAATGCAGTTACCTATGCAGCATTAACAGCAGGATATAATCACACACTGTGTGCACATGTGTGTGTGAGTGTGTGTTGATGTGCATGCGTTTCCCTCAGACCTCCACAGCAGGGTCTGAACCCAGTCCCTGAGCCTGCAGCGCCTCCTCTCTCTTCATCTTCGGTTTCTCTGTCCGTGTGTGCCACACCAGCACCTGCAAAGCACACAAACACACTATTACTACATGTGACCTTATATATAAACTGTTACTAGAATCGTAATGCAACTACTGCAAATGCCAATGCACGAACACTTCTTTCTTAAAGGTCTCTTTTTCTGCGATTTCCATAAATCATAAAGAAAAAAGACTGAAGACTTCAGAACAAAGCATTTCACACTGAATCATCTGTTCTAAAATAATTATAGACAAGTCTTCATTCTTATCTCTTAACGCACACACGCGTACTTTAGTGCAGTTGTCTGCTTTGGGCTCCAGTTCATCCATGGTAACCAGTCCCTGAAGAAAGCTGCTTTCCAGCAAGCCCATTGGTGCCTCTCCGTCAAAGCATGCCTCTGGATTGGCCAGGACCAATTTAAGGGAAACGGCGAAGCCAGCCATGTCGATCGGAAAGGGCCGACTGGGACGCCAGCCGGTATGGAAGCGAACGACCTTAAACAAACCATCGTAAATATGATCTCAGTATTTTAGATCAAATGAAAAAGCTGAAAAGCTTAGCTCTTAGGTGCAGTTAGATGCAGGGGATTTTTGCATCTTTAAAACAGCAGCATGGCAAAATGTCAGTGACCTTACCTTTCCTCCTTCAACCACAGGCCTCTCATACTTCATCCCTCCAACCAGGCCCACCGGCCAAACTGACACCCGCTGCGTGCTCCTCATCTGAGGAAAAGAGGACATTTGTTCGCAAGCATCAGCAATAAGCCTAATAGTGAAAGAAATAAACATAGTCACACACTTAAATATCCCACCTCCTCAAACAACTGCAGGCTGTATGTGTTATCGTCATCAGCAAAGTACACCACTCCTTGCTGGTTATCCCCTCCTGGCTGAGCCCTCCTGTCCTCTCTAAGCCACCGTAGCCCTTCGTTTCTCTGCTCCACTCCACGGGGCTTGAGCCAGCTGGGGTCACCCTGAGCAGGAGAATGACTCAGTGTTTTTAAATAAGGAACAAAAAAATTTGCAAGAACATGCATGGATAAGACAAAAATAAAATAAAATTGAACGAACCTCCTGTAGTTTGCGGTCCTTGGCGGTGGGCATGTGTAGGTGAGTGTAGGTCAGGCCGCTCTTCATCAGCAGGTCGGTCACCAGAGGCGTCTTGTGTGGCGAGTCCTCCACCAAGATCCAGTGGAGCCGAGGGACATGGAGAAAAGTCTGGGACATACGAGTCAGCTCGGCCTTCTGCACCAGCCTGAAAACAGATGGAAATCGGAGAGAGGGTGAGATCAGTGCAGGAATGCACAGCGGAGGGTGGACACCAAGCAATGGTCGCTTGGAAGACTACCTTGCATATGTCGGCGTGATAACAAAGATGGTGGGCAGGGACGGTTTGGCTGGCTGCTTCTGAGGTTGCTTTGTTACTTCAAACTTCCTCATCTCCTCCTGAAGACGGTGTAGTTCCCCACGCAGTCGAGATATGGTGCGGTCTTTAGGGAAGTCATGTTCTGTACAGTCACAGCGCTGGCCTGCACAAAGAAATCAAAGCAAAGTGAAGCTCTGCCACTCAGGTTTGCACATTTTTGACTCCTTTACACCTGCTGATGCTGAAATTTTTATACCATTATTCATTCTGCTCATAGGTAGGATTCACTTACCGAGCTGCATCAGTGCATAGATGAGGCCCAGGAGCGAGACCATGAAGTAGAGCAAAAATACAGTCTTCAGCTTTAGCTTCATCCTCGTTGCCATGGTGCCCTGACTAGCTGAAAGTTGACAGAAAGTGCAACTTGTTCACGCTTTTCTTATTAATCCAGTTGTTTATGTTCTGATGAAGTTGTGCAGGCTGTAACCGAGGAGCTAAACTGAGTTCAAATGTACCCAATTTGACACAAGCAACATTTAGCTTGCTAACAAGCTAAGAGGGAAAGCATCCCCATGCAGCGGGACGTTTCTGAGAAGCTAACTGAGGAAAAGTTGAAGCTGTGCACGGGTCAGTGTGGCCTAACTCCCGACGAGGTCGAATAACATGAATCTAAACTGAACTCAATGATAAACCAGTGGAAGCTAAGCTGTATTAACCAGACAAGCACAAACATTCCCATTTTTTTCTTTTCTTTTTCTTACCGGAGGCGACAATCGGCGGAGCTGAGCGATGGAAGCTCAGAGCTTCATGTCATTTTGGACAGATGTGAGCAAAGGCACCTCACAGCATCCATTCATTCGGCTCAACTATGACATTTTTTCTGCAGCTAATGTACCAACAGCGTCCGGTTTCTGTGCGACGCGAAAAGGAATCCCCCTCGAAACATTTACAGCCACACAGACAGTTCCAGAAGCGGCACAGAAATCTGTGCAGCGTAAAAATGAAAGAAAAAAAAGTACTTATCAAATTAATTATCACTCATTTTGATAAAACAAATATTTTTTAAAATCTTAAAAAGGAGGTTCACATAGGCAGCTCATTTTCTTGACAGTACTTTCGTTAGAGGATTTTTTTCTTTAAAGGTTGCATTATAGGGTCAACTTGAAAGAAAGCTAGAACAGCGAGGTCAGAGGTCAAATGTGCCATCGTATTTGAATGCAAATTATAATTTAAATATTTTGAATCCCAATATATAAAATTCCATATGTACCTGTATGTTGTCAGTAGAAACAGTGATAGGATGAAACTAAAAAACAATTATTTGACCTTTAGTTCTACTGACTTTGGAGGAGAGGTCAGAGGTCAAATTTAACATATTGTTTTAAATCACTCCACAGTGCGTTCTATATGTTGGCAATATACACCACACCTATATGTTAAGCATTAGTGAATGGTCTATACAGGCAAATCGGCAACCTTAACACATTTTGACGCAGCTACATGTGTAACAACAGCATAATGAAAATCTGAAAAATTACCTATAAAAAGAAAAATACTAAATATATTAAACATTTCCATACATATCCTCTTTTCCTGATGGAAATTCACTTATGTTTAAAAAAAAAAAAAGTAAAGAAAAGAAAAAGAAAAGGAGGCATTTCTTGAAAAGTCAAACAACTTTCCTTTATTTGTAACATTATTTGTAACATAAAACACTGACAAGGCAGAATGACTTAGTTTTCCCTTTCATTGTCATTTACGGACAGGACTGGAACACTCACTCTCAAACACCGAGGTTTTTTTTTTTTGCCTTTTATTAACATCATGTTTAAAAAAGTGTTTCTCCTGTAAAAGGCCAAGAAATGAAGATGGATCCACAACAGCTTATATATTTATATATATTTATATACATGTTGAGAAAAGACCAAAAGCAGTATCTGGAATTTTTTGTATCTGGAACCATTAAAAAAAAAATAAAAAATTAAGTCCTCACTGACTTCAAAGTAAATTAAATTCAGGCTCATTTCCAAAAATTACATTTTCACATAAGATTTTTTATTTTATTTTATTTTTTATTCCCAGTGAGCCTTTTTAAAATTCTTTATGATTATTTGTTTTAACTGCCCACATGCCTGGATTGAATATGACCACCGAGTGCAGATCCAGTCTCTGTTCAAACTTTGTTACATTTACTTTCATGCAACTTCACATTTTCAAAGAATAGAATAAAACTAAACAAAAATCTCCTCCTGAATACCAGGACTACTTTCCGGTTGTTTCTTTAAACAGGATGGTAACAAGACTGAGCCGTGGGTCAATCCAATCCAGCCAGCGGCTGACTGACTGACAGCGTGGCTGTTAAGTACAACAGATGAGGTTTGATTATGTTTGATTAACCTGAGAGAGACTGTCAGTCCATCGATCTCCTACCTCTATGTACAACATCCTCTTTTTTTGAAATTGTAACATATGAAGTACAAAATTTTTTTACTGTACTATTCAATCAGATAGTCTAGTCCCCGCAAACAAGCATGTTTAGTTGTTTCTGTTCCTCAGAGTTCAACCAAGCAAGAAAAACCACCATGTCTCCAGGTGCAGAATGTACGTTTAGCAGGAAACAACCAAAGCTTTCATCCCAGGATCCCGTAAGATTTTTCTCCTCAAACCCTTTTTTTTTCCTTTGGTACCAGATTATTTTAGTACCAAGCATTTACACCAAGTGTGTCTACTTCACATAACAGCCTCTAACTCCACGTACTTGTAGCAGGCTTTTCATTATTATTTCCATTATTGTCTGTCATTGGTGTGCTGTTACAGTAGTGGATCCAGCATATGTACACGTCCTCTCTGTGAACCAAAAAACTCAGAGTTTAACACAGAAGCACTGTTTCAGACATGTTTATCTACTCCTGGCTTTGTGCGATGTCAAGGAGAGCCTTAATATAGATGACAATTGAAACCATCAGTTTGTCAGGGATAGCCAATGAGAGGACAGCTGTCTTATTAAAGGGACAGGAGCTGTAACAGCTCATTTGAGACAGTGGATAAAATAAACTGCACCAGAGGCCAGGATAGGATAAATAAGGATTATTTTTAACTGAATCATGCAAAGCCAGAGGAAAAAATAAAAAATAAAAAATAAAGGACACATGGAGCTGGAAATGTGCACAACAGAACCCTGTTCAATGCAGTCAATCTCAATTCTAAATCAATTTTTTTTTTAAAAACAGCAATTTAATCCAAAAACACATCAAAGGCTTTGTGAACAGGCGGGGAATTAAGATTATTCTAGACCAACATGAGAATTTTAGATGCTGCTTCTCGCAGTGGACCTAAACCTTTTAGAAGCCACTAGTCCGTAATCCTAATTTAAGACTAGATTTACTCCACCCACCCCCACCCCCAAAAATACCTAATTTTACAGGAGGGGGCCAGGAAAATAAGTTAAGACTGTGGAAGAACTCAAACAATTTAAAAAGCAAAAAAAAAAAAAGAAGCTCCCTCAAGTGCGCTGCCGTTACCCTCATCTGCATCCATTCACGTGTCGTTTTCAAGCAGCTATATGATCAAACGGTGACCTCTGTTGATGCTACTCCACCTTAAATCCACAAGATATGCAAGAAGTGCAATGGAGGATGGACTTAGTTGTTTTTAAACAGGCCTAGTAGCGTCAGATTTGTCGTCAGAAACTAAAAAGCAAAGAGGGAAACGGGTGTACTACGAAAATCCGAAAGCTCAGTAAAAATGAGAACTGTGTGGCAGCCGTGGGTGCAGGTCAAGAAGCAGGAAAAACTCAAAAAAAAAAAGGAGGCCGAAAGGTCAAATGATGAATTTTCACAACTAAAGATGTCTTCTGTGAAGCTGAAAAAGCATCCAGTTACAGCATGCATCTCTAATGAGGCGATATGACACAGGTGGGGACAAACTGGGAATATTTACTTAGTCGGATGCAGATTTACAGCAACTGATGATGTTGAGAAAACATTTTTTTAAACGTATTTTACTGAGAGACTCGAAAGAAAAAGGCAATCTTGGAAATCTCATTTGATAAGCTGTAAGCATTAAAAGCGAGGGAGACATCGATACATTTACCTGAATCGAGGAGGCGGGTGGTGCCGATGGTGTATTGTAATCATGTAACAGCAGTATCACGTGCCAGCTGCTGCTAGCTGCAGTGTCTTCTGTTACAGAATAACTTACAACTAGAGTCAGAACAGATAATATTACAGTGCAACGGCGCTTCTCGTGCTGGTTTAACCAGGACCTAAACTTGGGCTCTCACATGAAGCCCGATCCGAGGACCCCGGTGCAGTGAAACAAGCAAGTCGTCTCAGTGCAAAGGCCCCAGAAAAACCCCGAGCTGGATTGTAGAAACTGACTAACTCTGAGTTATTTTTATCTGCTTATTTTGGATGGTTTTAGTTGTGATTTCAAGACTCAACTAATCCCGTTTTACACTTGAGAGACCACAAGTGGGGAGTTTCTTCAATACAGCTCGAGGCCAAGAGTCAACTTTAGGTCTCGAACCACAGTTTAAGAAGCAGATCCAATACAGTATAGCAACACAGAGATGATGAGAGCTGCATGGGATAGGATCGGTCTCCGTGATGGAGACCGTCAGCTTTTTCTTGACTGGAAACCAGTTCTGGTAATAACAGCGTTATGAGAATGGGAAGAGATGATTTGGACAATGAGCCGAGGGGCTGGAAAACAAATTAAACAAACAAAACAAAAACATAGAAAAGGCTGCGTGCGAAAGCTCACACTGCACGCTGCATCGAGATGCCGGCTTTTAATGCGCAGGTGGGTTTTCCCACCTGTCGGCCTCCATAATTCAAAACCACTCGTGGGCTAGCAGGCAGCTGAAGCTTTCGCACGCAGCCGGTTAAAGTTGCTGGCTTTTAACCAATCGCGTGGCGTAACCGAAGCCGATCAGTGGCAGCAGCCCCCGCAGTGTCCGCCCCCGTGGGTGTGTCCCGCCGAGGCCTCGCCGTGCTTGGTCCGCCTGCTCAGGATCTCGTAAGAACAGTCGTCGCCGCAGCAACCGGACATGCTCGGTGAGGTCTCATCGATCTCAAACCTGGAGGTGAGGGGAGACGGCGAGCTTCGTTAATGGGAGACCGAAGGAAGTCGGGTTTCAGATGAAGAAGGACCGTTTCCTGCCTGTATGTGACCTTTATAAGTGGGAACTTCCTGGAGTGTTAATGCACTAATGATGGCGATCACATTAAGACGCCATAACTGTAAGACCCGCCAGTCCCACACGAAAGAGAAAGTAAAAGATAATTCAATAAGGCAGCGCCGTGACGTCTCCATTATCCCAATAATAACCCTCAACAGTCCTCGTGTTTGCAGCGCAGTGATCATAACAAAACTGAACACTAAAAATGAAAGTCGCCAGTTCAGTGTGGGACTAAAAGGGAAATCCGGTTGCAATCTTTGCTTCTGTTCCAGTGTTACGACATTGAATAAAGGCCAGAGAAGTTCCACATTTCTCTATGATTTCATCTTTCATTTATATTAAATTAAATGAGTTAAAATTCCTGGATTATGTCCAGAAATACATTTTTGGGAACTGCCAGCTTTGCCCATTCCTTTCTGATCTAAGACAGCAACTTCATGAGAAAGAGACTAACCCACAACACCTGTGGAGCCATTAATACTGAGCTGTGAACCACGTCATATTCTAAGAGGCTTGGAAAGAAAAGCGTCTGGACTTCTTTAGGTTTCTTGAAGACGTTTCACCTCTCCTCCAAGAAGCTTCTTCAGAGCAATTGGTGGACAGTCCCAGATTATAAACCCTATGGGAGGGTCAGGGTGTGGGTCACAATCAGCCAAGATTTCGGGTGAACCCATTGTGAAACCTAGCCCCACCCTATCATGTGATGGCTTCACCCGAAACCTGTTTTCACACCTTGGCTCGTGTGAGTAGGTAGAGGATCAATAGGGGGTCCATGACCCTCTTGGGGTCATTACAGACTACGATGACCTGGATGACTGAGAAGCTTCACAGACAACTAACCTTATATCATATTCCATAATAATATAATATAGTGTCCATATATTATATTATAACCTTATATTATACTCCAGACTACACGTTCAAAGGCTGAACATTTGTGTCATTACAGTTAAACCCTCCATATTTCCTAATCGTTAAAGAGCCGGCATACTCACTGTAAAGCTTCTCTGAAGAACTGGTAGGCCCCTTTGTTCTGTTTAAAAACTGTCAACATCACCTTCTTCATCTGTGTACTGGACAGAGGACAAAAAAAGAAACACTTGTCTTTAGTGTAAAGTGACCTGAAGGCGTGATCATAGACTGTATATAAAAGATGGATGTAGCCCATGTTTTAGCATTTGTTATGATAAATGTGCTGTGAATGCGATGTTACATCCTCCAGTTGTGTTTGTATTCAGTGCAGGTCACCTGTAACCAACTTCACAGTCACCACAATCTTCCCTCCCATAGTCACACAACCGAAGTTCTTTACCTGTTAGCGATGAGCTGGAGTATCTGGATGAGAAACTTGCCAAGCCCTTTCCTCCGCACTCTGCTCTCTAACTGCACCTCATAGCTGCAGAGCAAAGAAAGAGGCGCAAATTTAAAAAAGATAAAACTTAGAATAACAGAAATGAGGTTTGAAATCTTTTCTGAAATCCACAAACACACGGCTGGGTACCTCACCAATATAAAACCTCCTCCCCGCACTCTATGTCGAACCGGAAGTGGGAGAAGGCCACGGGGGAGGAGTCGGCGTCGCGAGCCAGCAGGTACCAAGCCCTCTCGTCATTCATCTCCTCCCTCTTTTCCCTCTCCTTCCATCCCCACTCACTCTGCTCGTACCTGCAACAGAAAGACAGCAGACGAACTCGAGCATGGCACAATAATTGGAATTCTTTGCTCTCAGATTTTTCTAAACTGGACAAATACCGTTTAAAACTGAATATGAGACAATATTAAATACAGTAACTCAATCTCTACCTTCTTTTTATACTCTGCGTTTAATTCATGGCCTCAGATCCACATCTTGCCATCTGCCCTTATCTCATGTCACAAAAAGAATTTCTGGCCTATCTGCACTCTGCTCTGAAAAAGATAGGTCACTCTGTTCCTGAACTACTTCGAACTCTGAGAGGAGGCGAGAACAGACTTCTTACAGCGTCTGCATGTTGGCTCTTGTGAGTTCGAAAGCCCACTCCACAGACAGCGGGTTAAGCGCGGTCACTCTCTTGCACTCTATCTGCAGGTTCAGCCTGGAATGGGAGGACAAGTCAACGTGTGAGTTTATGAGTCTGTGTCTCTGGGAAAGCGGCTGTTCCCTCCATGCGGAAAACACAAAACAAGAATGAATTTCATGGAACGGGATACTGAATAAATCCTCTGCGGGTGTACAAAGCAGTGCGTACCCATTTCTGTCGTATTTTTTGAAGGCTGGGAAGGCGGCCAGGGGGTCCTCGAGCTGTGAGAAGAGAGGGCAGAATGAGAAAACGCTAAACTATCAGCACTCTTCTCCATTCAGTCATGTCCTTTAAGCAGCCTTTACGCTCAATGACCTGAAAAGCCAAATAAGGGCAGGACAGGCTACACGTCCATTAGTCAGTCACGATGACACAAAAGGTCAGCTTCACCTTGTTACTATGAAGATCAAGACTACTCTCATCCTTGGACAGATTATGGCACACTGGGCCGAAACCACAGACACTCAGGCTCAGAGAATTTAAGTATGAAGGCCAAAGACGGACCCTCAAAATCAGGTTCAATTGCTCATTTATTCATTTGAAACTATGGTCCACTTTAGGAGATTTTCTTGCATTCCTTTGCTGTTATCACATCCACCACAGTGGGGGCAACTCATTTTGAAACAAAGTGACACAAAAGTAATCGACCCAGCCAAACCCATCATGATCCCAATGAGGAGGCTGCTGCAGCTCAGATCATGTTGTGCGAGCTGTTTTCCTCCAGTTTGCCAACGCTCTAGCCAACCTCCAAGCTGCAGGAGCCGTGCATTCGAATAGACAGGTGGGGGATTTAATGATGCAGATTAATTATGCATAAAGGCACACATGGTGCGGTATTTGCCTTTTCCTGTCATGCCCATATCAATTAAGGCTGTAATCGGGGTGAGGAGGGCATCCCCGAGCTTCTTTTTTTTCGTGCCTTAAGCTTACAATGGAACAGCGTGCGAGAGAGACAAAAATCAAACCGCGCATTTTTAACTTCAGTGCAAAGCCACAGCAGAAGATTTCTCCTTTTCACGCATATCCACAACTGAGGTACCTTATTGGCTGCATCTACTTTGGCGCATACGGCGTCCATAGCTGCCCTCTCCTCCAGACGTCTCGCTTTCTTCTCCTTTGCTCTGTTGGACTTCCTCTGAAGACACAAAATGAACGGAGAGGAAAAAAAAGCAGGGGACATTTGGTGAATTACAGATGGATCAGAATGAGATTTTTCACCCTGACACAGACACACAAAAAATGCAAAATCCAGAGATCACTACAGACAAAGAGGTGCTATAACCCTTTGCCTTTTTTTTACCACTTAATTTATTCCCTTCTCTGCTTCGCGTGATCAGTGCCAGCCATTTTTCACCACTTCTTTACTGGTGAATCGATCTTCTCTTGTCAAAGAGTGTAACCTGTGCTGACGAAATGACAAGGTAATGCAGCATTCTGGCACAGCAGCTACAGCCTGTCAGGTCACAAGAAATCACGATGAAACCTGGTGGCAGCAGAGCCCACAAACACAGAAGCAGGTAGTAGCCAGAGGATACCACTGTACTTTTTCGCCAACACACACACACACACACACACACACAAACACACACACACACACACACACACACACACACACACAAAATCGATCAAACGTAGAGTGCAGTCTTTCCCACTCATCTGAGTATTAGCAGATCTTTGAATTTCTGTTTAATAATGACGTGTGCTGCTGTACACGTTTTAATTACAACCCCAAAGCCACGTGGCAAATCAATCAGAGAACAGATCGACCCTCAGACACTACGCATGAGCACATCCGGGAAGATCGAAGCTCCAAAAATACATCAAGGCCTGGAAAACAATGAAAAAGCAGAGCTTATTACTCTTAATAACGTGATTATTGTCTCTCTGAAATGCTTTCATTCTAAAGCCATTACAGCGGTATAGTATTTCTATAGCCTGTGCTGCTCCCTGTGGGAAATTTCTCTGATACAGTTACTCTCATTAAGCCTGCTCCTGGTTTGATGTCCAAAGCATCTGCATTGATGGTGCAGCCATAACTCACACAAATAACCCTGATAGCGTTTATGCTGTGCAACAGAGAGATTAGACACTTTAACAGTTCCTATACCCATCCTCTGGACCTGATGTAGTGATTTTTTTGTGGCTCCATGCCATTTAGATACTTATTTGTCTGGTTGAGTCAAACAATCACAAGTAGTATTAGTGTATTGCCCTGGTTGGAAGACTCCATGAGTTATTAGAGTTGGTCGTGGTGCGTTTAGGGTGCAGAATTGGTGCTTCACTGGAGAAACAACTAGGCATTAACTGAATTCCTTCATTCCAGGGCTGAGCAATTATGAAAAGGAATGCCAACTTTAGCTCCAAGCATTAACTCTGTACCAAGCACAGGGAGGCTGCACACTGAGCTGGGGAAGGGGGGACACGTGGATTGGTTTATCTGGAGCCAAAGAGAAGGACAAAGTCAAGTCTAGCTAAAGTTAATAAACTCAGCTTTACAGCTTCAGAGTGTGTGCAGGCCTGGCTGGTGTAGACAGGTAGCTCATATTATCAACTTCCAACATGTGTGAATTAACCAAGGCCAGGTGGGAAAGAGACCCCACATCCTGGCCTGTTTGGAAAATGTACACACACACACACACACGCACACACACACACACACACACAAGTGACTAGCATTAATGGTTAGCAACGTACTCGCCATTTGCTGTAATGGCATTCCCCGACAGCTAACAAGGCTAGCGGGCTAACAATGTCACAACACACATGACATGTTAAGTGTGCGCAACGCCAAGGACGATGCAGTAACCCAGCTGAAAACGTCATAAAAAGCCATGTGTGTGCTCGAGCTAACGCTACAATGCTATGTTACTGGGTTTATGTTTAGGCAGCTAGACGGCTAACAGCCAAACCAGCACCTTCAGCCACATCCATCCACCATGGTCTTTCTCGCTTTCCCTCTCTCCTGCCTTCCTTCTTTCTTTCTTTCTTTCTTTCATATCTCCTCTGCTTAATCAGCCACTGACGAGCTAAAAACCTTTCTTTGTGCCACCTCGCTTCATATATATATTTTTGGGGAAAAACACATGCAACTCACCCCCATTTTGCTGCCGTATCTGCTCGATCCCCCTGGAGAAACACACCTCTATTGTCCCGGTGCTTTGCTGAGTTATTAGTATCGTGACTACAGGCAGAAATAAGGGGGCCAGATGAATATGACAATGATGGATAGTGTGCTAACAAAGCTAGCTGGCTGGCTACAGCAGACGACCGAAGGCTTTGAAAGAAGCAGCAACCGGCTGCGAATTTGATTCCAACGTGAGTGAAAACCGAGCCGTTTAATTTCCCTCTGAAGTCGGATTGGCGCCAAGACTGCGAGGCTGAATTATCCGGGCTGCTTCGTTGCCCTTTTCTTTTCTCCTCTCCGCCGCGTCCAGCTATGCTGCGTTCACGTGTTCCACCTCACCTCGGACTTCTGACACCCTTAGCCCCCAAATAGATTTAAATAGTCTTAAGAAGACTATTTTGGGTTAGGGTTACCCTAACCCTAAACCCTACTTTTCCTCTCCCTACACTATTTACTATAGTGGTTTAAAACAAAACTAAAACCTAAAAATGTTACCTTAAATAAAAATATAAAATGGAAAACGAATTTAAACTACATTGTTTGTTTACAAAGCTTCAATAATCATTCAATTCAATAATAAGTTGTTGTTTTTTTAACTCTTAGCTGTAATATTTATTGATATGGTCATCAGGAGCCTCTGCTGCATGTTTATCTAGACTTGGATGTATACATGACTTTAAGTGTTGTGTTTGTGTAATATTTAATCTGAACTTCCTAAACCTCGACCGTCTATAATCTTTTTTTTTAAGCCAAACACTTAACATGTTCAAACAATATAAAGGTGAACTGAAATGAGCAAACCCACCCTGGAAAGTAAGTGAATTTACACTGAATTGAAAACGAAAATTCAAAATTAAACGAAAATTAAGACTTTTTTTTAAGGCAAACAATAAATATAGAACCTAAACATCATGTGCAGTATCCTCACATACATCTACTACATGAAAAGTGGCACTGGAGAAAAGCGTAAACTATAGCAAATCAGCTGCTGTGAAAGTGTCTTGAGCCTGCATTCCATCTGAAGACCACTAGATGGCGACAGCTGTGTTGCAAAAATACTTGAGGTCCTATTGAAGTCTAAAGGAAAACAGTTTCCTGTCTTGACCTCTGTAAGCACGTTGATGCTTGATTTATGATCTCAGTTACTCATTTGGAGTTATACTGAATAAAAAATGAAGCCTATTTTGGCTTTTAGTCAATCTATCTTTCAAAATAGATCTGTATAAAGCTACACAATCATTTGCTAACTTGTCAATCACAAGTCACAGCCAGTGAGTGTATGGTTTCACAAACCGGCATGTACTTGTCACATGTGGATTTTGGCAATCAACATGGCCACAGTGGAAACAATCCAGTGTTTGTTCAGTGATTCCAGTTAATGGAGATGAGTAACTGTAGCTGCCATTGTGGGATGAAATGAAATAATAACAATAATAAAACAAATAAAAGTAGTCATTATGCAAATCCCCTTAGAGGATGCCATCGCCCACGTCCTACACACCACTCTCAGCCACGTGGACAAGAAACAGGGTAACTATGTGCGAATGCTGTTTGTTGATTACAGTTCAGCGTTTAACACAATAGTGCCCTGCAGACTGTTCACGAAGCTCAGGGATCTGGGACTTAACAGCCGTTTGTGTGCATGGGTGTTGGACTTCCTCACTGGCAGAACTCAGGTGGTGAGGGTGGGCAGGTGCTTCTCCAACAGCATCACCATCAACACAGGAGCACCTCAGGGATGTGTCCTCTCGCCACTGCTCTACTCCCTCTACACTTCAGACTGTGTGGCCACCCATGGCTCCAACACCATTGTGAAGTTTGCTGACGACACAGTGGTGTTGGGTGCCATCTCCAACAACGATGAGGCGGCCTACATGGATGAAGTGAAGAATCTGGCATCGTGGTGCCAGGACAACCACCTCCAGCTGAACGTCAGCAAGACCAAGGAGCTGGTGGTGGACTTCAGAAGGGGTCAGCACAGAGACTACAAGCCCATTATCATCAATGGAGCTCCAGTGGAGAGGGTGCAGTCCTTCAAGTATCTTGGTGTCCACATCTCCTCAGACCTGATATGGGCTGCCCACATTCAGGTCCAGACCAAAAAGGCTAGGCAGCGCCTGTATCACCTACGACAACTGAGGAAGTTCAGGGTCTCTCCAAAGATCCTCAGGATTTTCTATACAGGCGCTGTGGAGAGCATCCTCACACAGAACATGACATCGTGGTTCGGGAACAGCTGTGTGAAGGACCAAAAAGCTCTCCAGAGAGTGATCCATACAGCAGAACGCTGCTGCAGGATTGCTCTCCCCCCGCTTCAGGACACCTACACCAGGAGATGCTGGACTAGAGCAGCGCAGATACTGAAGGACCCGTCCCATCCTGGCAACAAACTGTTCCAACTTCTGCAATCTGGTAGAAGGTTCCGCATCTTCCGGGCAAGGACAGAGAGACTCAAGAGGAGCTTCTATCCCCAAGCCATCCGTGCCCTAAACACACACACCCGCCCTCTCACATCATCTATAATTGACTGAGACAGGACTCTTCCAGACACTAAACCAAGGCACAATGTACATTTCAATTCCTTTAATTTTAAATATGTTTATATTGTCTATCCTGTAAAATAGTCAGATGTCTATTCATATTAATGTACAGAATTCACCTGCTTGCTGCTACTACTGCACATTCACCCAATGTATATACTGTATGTATATATATATATATATATATATATATGATGTTCTTCCTTTAAAGTATATTCTGTGTGTATTGACTGCAGCTTTCTATGTGTACTTGAAAAATGTCTGGCAGCGGTGGGATTCGAACCCACGCCCCCGAAGAGACTGGAGCCTTAATCCAGCGCCTTAGACCGCTCGGCCACGCTACCACGTGCGTACCTGTTTTCCTGAAAGAGCTGTTGGTCACTTTTCTGACAGTACCTGAACGCACCGCTGCGTTAGCGCGAACATGGTTTCCTTGTTTGTGACGACAGAGCGCCAGACAGCACAGGTCAGGAAGCACGCGGCACTTTCAGTACCAGGAGGATGACCTCTGACCTTTACTACTTCTATGACAGAATAATGCTCAAAACGTGAAAGGCTCATAAATAACAGGCTGGGAGTAACATGTGCGGCAGCTACAGTAATCTGGTAACTCATTAAATACATTTTTTTCCAGTTCTGGTTATCTGAGTCAAAATCAGACGTTACCGTCACTCAAACGCGCATGTGTCAAACAGCTGCATATATGACAGAAAACGCATGTAAGCATTGTATTTTCAAATAAGACCCTTCTTTTTTATAAAGCACCGACTGTGTTCTGAACAAGTTTTCTCAACGTGAAAACAAAGCATCCGCATTTCACGCGTGAGCTTGTTCATTTTCCTGTGCTTTGTCTGTGCAGCAACGGAGGTTTAGTGAAATTATGGCACATTTGCCTTCTGAAGTCACTCTTCCAGTTTAGGGAGTTACAGCATCTAATGCTAATGTTACCACTTGGACCACTTTGGACTTCACTTTCCACATCTGCTCCAGCTGTTCCTTCAGCCCCTGGTACGCCTCTATTTTCTTGTGCCGCTTCTTCCTGATGTTGCTGTCCGCTGGGATTGCCACATTTATCACCACTGCGGTCTGCTTCTCCTTCTCAAACACCAATATGTCTGGTTGTCAGTCTGGTTTAAGTCCCACAGGACCTTACCTCCATCAGCTTTGTCTCCCACCAGGAGTTGGAGGCTTCTAATTTGGGGCAAGTTTTTCAAAATATTTCTTTCTCACAATATATACTCACTACTTCACTAGCACTTACATCACAATACTTTACATCATCATTATTACTAATAGTAATAGTGGTTAAATAATTTAATAATTTACATGGAAAAGAATAAAAGAAAATGATTTCTAAGTATATTTACATAATTATTGGTTGGAATTTCCAGTAGAAAATTTCAGTGTCTTTTCTGCTATTTTGCTAAGATTTTATAAGAATACAAACCAAATACTCCACTTTTCTCAGTTGTGCATCTATAGCTCATAGTTAATCATGCGAGTGAAAGATAACTGCCACAGCGTGAAACCCCATGCTGCTCTGGGCAAATCTGGCATGTCTGGAGAAGGAGTTTGCCACAGTGACCAATAGGTGGAGGTGTAGGTTTGGGAAATTAGCCAGTTCATACTACAGCTCTTATTTCATTCTACTGAAGCTAGAAATGAAAGTTTTTGTCCATTACTCTCAAATTTTTTACAGCGTTTGTAATACAAGATGCATTTCCCCAAACAGCTCATACAATCAGTCGCAAAACATTGCAACTAATGTGAAAAAGGTTGTAATTTAAAAACCTTTAACTGTTTATCAAAACAAACTATCTGCATTAAACTATAACACTGGTCAGCGGGTTTTTTTCAGAGATGAAATGTGACATTTCTTATTGACTTTGCTGAATCCAAATATAACAATTTAAATGCATGATTGGCGGTTTCCCACGATGTTGAACTTTTTACATTTCACACTTATATACGTTCTAACATTTTAAAATAAATTAAAAAAAACAGTTCCACGTAGAGACAAAATTACACCACAATACAAAGCAGCGTTGTTCAAGTTCGGTTCACACAAAGGGTCTGTTAACGGTAAATTTATCTGGGCTCCAGCCTGCCAGGCCAGACCAGCATGTTGTGTTTAGGTAGGATAATGTTATGACATGTAACATGACATGTTGGTTTCTTCTTCTTGGCTGCATGTCTCTCTGTAGATCTCCACAACCAAACTTAGTTCATCACTTAACAATGTGGGGCACCAACAGTGAAAATGCAAATGTTTAATTTGCATGTCATTGGTGCGCACTCTGGGAGTCACGTCACTTAATATATTTTTTAAAAAAATCACGCAACTTTACGCTGCAGCATTACACATTTTCTGCTACTGGGAAGGACAAATTTAAGGTCACAGTACGGGTCAAAGGTCAAACAGAGAGAATATATTTAAATTTGATATTTGCTTGTGATGCTTGATACCTCCACCTGGGCCACTACTGTCAAAATTCAGGGCTTTACTTTATTTATTTATTTATTTATTTCAGAATCACTGACTTTTTTTTACCCACATGTCGCCAGGTGTTGAATTCTGCTGTGCAGAAGTAACACAAACCTTTTAAGGATTTTGCATGTTGTTTTAGGAAAAACTTTGATTTGCATAAATCTGTAAAGATTTAAATTAGTTTCCAGCTCATGTAAATATCGCAGGATGGTTAAACTTGTGGTAACATTTTGTCTCCTTGCTGTTTTTCCTAATAACAGCCAGGGGTCTGACCTTGATTTTCCTGCTTTTTTGTGGT